CTTCTAAACAGCCCAAAGTGAGCTCTCCCAAAGTCCAGCTTGGCCGTTTTAGTGTTCCCCCTCCTAACTTCCCCTAGAATTGAGAATTCTATTATCTCGTGGTCACTATGCCCCAGGCGTCCTCCAACCTTCACATCTCCCACAAGACCTTCTCTGTTCACAAACAGCAGGTCTAGGGGAGCACCTTCTCTAGTCGGTTCACTGACCAGTTGTGATAGGAAGTTGTCCTCCACACTCTGCAGGAACCACCTAGACTGTTTCTTGACTGCCATGTTATACTTCCAACAGACATCAGGCAGGTTAAAGTCACCCATAAGGACAAGGGCTAGTGAGCGCGAGACTTCCCCCAGTTGTTTAAAGAATAGCTCATCAGTCTCACTGTCCTGATAGGGTGGCCTGTAGCAGATTCCCACTACAATATCCGCCTTCATAGGCCCCCCTTTGATTTTCACCCACAGACATTCTACTAGGTCATCCCCAACATTTAACTCTAAACAGTTTAGACCTTCCCTTACATACAGGGCAACCCCACCACCCCTTCTACCTCTCCTATCCCTCCTGAAGAGCTTGTAGCCATCCATGGTAGCACTCCAGTTATACGAGTCATCCCACCATGTTTCAGTGATGGCAACTATGTCATAGTTTCCCCGGATAACAAGAGCTTCCAGTTCCTCTTGTTTATTGCCCATACTGCGTGCGTTCGTATAGAAGTTGGGCTTTCGACCCCACTGCACCCCTAGGGGGGGAAGTTTTATTACCTGAGCTGTTATTTTTGGGATTCTCTTTTACCTCTAGGCAACTTGTGTGTGTTGGCATCTGAATTTGTGTTTCATACTGCCCCTCCCATTCTGAGGGTCCAGACACCAAATAGACTAACAAGAGATACTTGGCTGACATGCACAAACTCTAGAATGGATTCCCCTCCCTTATTTATCTTGTTTTAGTTAGAAGTCACTGACCTAATTGGCTTTCCTTTCCTACTGATAGGTAAACCTGTACTATTTGTACCTCTGATTTGCACTGAAAGGCAGGTACACTTTAATTGCCAAGTTCTGTGTCTCAGCAAGTACATTGAGTACCTTTGCTACTAGGACAGTGCAAGGAATAGATTTATAGAAGTAGATAAGAAATATTTTATATCAGTGATCAAATGAATATGTTCCAGTTGTCAGAAAAATAAGAGTTAAATGCTGACTGAGTATGTGGTGCCATTACCACTTGAAAAACAAATATGTCATAGTTTCTTCTCAGATTGGAAGCAAAGAAAAAGATCAGTTCTCCTCAAACTTTTCTTGATATTTTTCTTCAAATTTGTGTAAGTGAAGCTATGTGGTCTCATATGTAACCTTTCAGTCAGGTTTGGGTATACTCTCTGGACAGCATGTCTCACATGAGTGCCTTGTTACAAAACAGTGAAATAACTGAGTGTAATTCCCGTCTTTAATCTAGTTTGCCTCTAGTGCCATACATGTTAAAACCTCCAATATTATACAAATTAATCTGATAAATGTAATTTTTCTGTAAGTGTGCAAGAATGTCTGAAATTCAATAAGCAGTTAATACTCCAAACATTTGGAGATGCATAACAATCTCATTTATTATAGTGATTTTTTTGATATGTACAGAAGGGCCCATGGGCCTCATACAGGTTTAGTCTTGCAAGCAGTTTCAAAATGCCATTCCTCTTTACATGTATTTCTTTACAAAACAATTGTAAGCTGGTGTTTCTTACTCTTGCAGTGCTTACACCATGAGCATTTAAAACAAAATATAGCCAAAAATCATACAAGCTCTTGAGTATTACATTACTCAGGAGGAGTTGTACTAGCTTTGCTCTTTGACTCTGCTGGTTGAATTTTCACTGAAAGATAACAAAACTTCAGTAATATGCTATTAAAACCAGATGTGCTTAGCTAAAAAGAAGTATTTTCTAAGTTTGTTTTGCTAGCCTGTAGGTGGAAAGCGCAGTTGAGATCACACTTCTCAAAATACCAGTTGATTGCTGTACGGTACCTGTTTGTCTGTTTTCTGATTGGGTAGAGCTGTTGCTGGGCTGATACTGTTTTGACCAAAATTAGAAAGTCAATATAAACGAGTCAAACTAGACTGCCTGCTTTTTTCAGTTCTCTCTTCTGATTCATCAGTTGTTTGTTTCAAATTCTGACAGCCTTTGTGAATTGGGGGTTGTGCCAGCAAAGGTGAAAGCTCTTAGTGGTTAGTCAGTAAGAATATTTGTAAAAATTTGTCTTGATGACATTTAGATGCTAGCAAAAATATGATGCCTAGTTAAAAAAAAAGTGGAAGTGAGTCCTACGGAGTGATCATAATAAATGCGTGGATGCGAGAACGTACTCCTCACTTAGGAGGCTGCCTGCTTCTCATATTCAGGGATGACATCCATCTTCTTGACCCTAAGAGGATGTTATTGCCAGTGTCTCATGGCAGAGGCTTGAGATCTGAAACTTACTGATGAAGGCATGCGCGAAAGAAGGATTCACTGCTTACACACCTTTTTTCATTCAGTATTACTACGTGTACTTGTAACAGGCTGGACTGTGCCTGGTTAATTGACTTTATTAATACCAAGGATTAGAATATCTGTGAATAGAACTATTACATTTGAAGAAAAATGGCATGTGAATTGTTTAGCAAAATTGTAGGTTGGTGCAAGCACAGCAGTTTCACAGCTAAGGGTAGATGGCTGTGCTGTACTTGAAGAAATGCTCTTACTTTACCTGTACAGATAAAGCTACAGACTTTCTTTTTGGAAATGAATAGATTTTGATGCAAGTGACAGAGGCAAATGTTTTAATTAGTTTATACTTGGGCTAGTTCAGACTTTCAGAATTTATTTTTTTTCTTCTTCCATACAGGTGGGTAAGAAAAAGGTGGCGATGTTGTTGAATTCCATTCAGTTAGGATCCACTGATCTTGCCAAAAAAAGGCTATTTCTCAGTATAGAATCATAGAATGGTTAGGGCTGGAAGGGACCTTCAAAGGTCATCTAGTCCAACCCCCCTGCAAGGAACAGGGATATCTCCAACTAGATCAGGTTGCTCAGGGCCTCGTCCAACCTGGCCTTGAACGTCTCCAGGGATGGAGCATCCACCACCTCTCTGGGCAACCTGTTCCAGTGTTCTACAACTCTCATGGTAAAAAATTTTTTCCTAATACCAAAAGGAAGTAGGAAGTATGAAGTATGTCCAAAGTGAAGCAACAAGACATGTAATTCTATATCCCACTGAAGGACAGGGATAGAAAGTGCTCTAAGAGAGCAACTTGGTTAAATCATAAGATCTCAAGATACCGTATAAAAATAGAAAGTAGGTCTCATTTAGCAATGATAAGAATAAATGGGTAGCAAGAACACGTGAAATAGAAAAAAAAAAACGAAGCACAAAAAGAGATGCAACTAGAAAAGGACATAAAAAGAAACAAGAAAACATTCTAGAGTACATCAATAGTGAGAAGACAATAAGGAAATAATTGCTGCAGTGTTCAGAAGAAGATGAGAATTATTGACAGATGCCACTGTGAATAGTGGAGTGCGGAATGCCTTTTTTTTTTTCTTCTTTTTCTGAAAGGGTTAAGTATGGTCAAATGACTAATCTCTACTTTAGCCTGAGTTCTTCTACTGCTAAAAAATGAGCTGGAGCATATTTAAGTGTCTTCAAACCAGCTAGGCCTGACGAAATTTACCCTTTGGTGCTTACAAAAGGACAGAAAGGGTAATGTCTCTGGGATTCTTGAAAAGTTATATGGATTGCAAGCTTGTAGGGCACCTCTCTTTAAAAGGAGAAAGAGGAGGAATTGGGTAATAACAGACTGGTCAATTTAGATTACATTTCTGGTAAAAATCTGGAACAAATAATTCAGCTATCTGTAAGCGATTAGACTTAACAAAGACATGAGTAAGAGCTAACATGGATTTTACAGTAACAAATCAAGGGGAAGTAGTTTGACCTCTACGACGAGTAACAGGCCTAGGGAAGAAGGGCAGGTGGTGGTCTTTGGCCATCACAAATAACACTTGTTTGCAAGATTAGTAAGCTCTGGCCCATATGATTATTCTAGTTTATATAAAGTGCTGTTTTAAGATGTTTTAAGATTACTGTGGGCCTGGTAAAAATAGATGACCTATACTAAGTATATCACATTAGTAATTACCCCAATGCTATACTAGTTCTGACAGATGCTTTTGATTTCTTCTGTAGACTGAGTTACAAAAAAGAGTAGCTTAAAAAAAGTATTTCTAATTGCTGTATTTGGCATTCCATCAGTTGTTCTGGACCTACTATTAACTGGATTGTGAAGCAAATTAAGTATTATCTTCTTTTTAAGCAGCTAATAGCTTCTGATGTTTTCCGTGTAATATGGTTTGTTTATTTTATTGCAGGATTTGGTTATCCGTATCATCTTCATTCTTGGTAATTTAACAGCAAAGAATAACCAGGCCCGTGAGCAATTTTTTAAAGAAAAAGGAAGTGTTAACACCTTGATATCATTATTCCAAACCTACCATGAACTTGATTTGAATGCACAGAAGTGGTATCATGAAAGAGGAGGGGAAGGACAAAACCACCCAAAGCATCCTTCAGAAGCAGAAGATGTTCTCATAAAACTGTTAAGAGTGCTGGCCAATCTCACCATTCATCCCAGCGTAGGAGCAGCTCTGGCAGCTGCCCATCCTGTTGTAGAATTACTTGTTACGGTACTAGGTAATAAAATCTGTGTTGTGTTTGTTATCTTTATTCAGTCTGTAAGGAGAGTTTAGGATTTTTCTACTTGACCTTCTTATCTAGGTTGAGCCATAACTGAATCAGCTCCATTGCTAAATTGACAAAGTCAGTCTGCTGATATTCATAAACTGTTTTATGTGGAAAGCCTGTGTGAGGCGGTGGAAGCATTGCTGCTTTGGTACTGACTTTGCAGTGTCTGGGGAAAGATGTAGAAGCGTTTAATTCAGTGATCGGATTTGCAGATATAATCAGTAAGGATAAGCAAACAAATTTTATTTTAAATACATCTCACTGAGAGTTCCTATGTAAGGGAAGTCTGTCTTATCAGGTGCTACACAGATGTGTTTGGTGGTGGGTTTTTTTTAAGGTTTGCAGATTTTGTAACTGCTCTGGATTAACTATTCTTTTTGTTCCCTGCACCCTTAACTTTGAGCCTTCTCAAAAAATTTCCTCTTATTTTTTCTTCTTTTTCAAATTTCCAACCTTTATCTCTTTCAAGTGGAAGAGTGTCCCTTTGCCTCCAAACTGCAGTTCCTTTACCACTTACTGATCCCTCTGTAAATCTAATTACAGGCTAGGACTGGGCAGTCTATTCTCCCTATAACAGAGTTTAGCAGAGACAAGATACATCTCAGAGAACTCAGTATATTTTAGTGTGTATGAGAACATTAAATATTAGGTGAAGACAATCAACATGATTACATGCTGGCTTACCAGTCCTACCCACCAGCCATGGGGGATTAGAGAAGGCAAACTCACAACTTTGTCCCTTCGGTCTTAAGCCCTGTAGGAGCTTCTTCAGTTGGAACTGTCTTAATCTGTGTGTAAGCGCTTTTGAACCTCAAAGCTCCTCTTTGCCACTCTCCCTTCTTCTTGAGCACTGTATCAGTTGGTTTACTACAAGATGTTCTCTCTCTCTATGAACTTACTCCTCTTTTATTTCCTTTGCTTTTGGTTTCTGAGGCTAGAAACCTCAGATAAATTGGTATACACAACTTTCAGACTTGCTGGTGTAATTTTACACTGGTTAACATTCTCTCAGGAACTCAGAGAGTTGCTAAATAAGTTTGTTTGTTTGTTTTTCCAGTTTTTCGTGGTTCCTTGGTATTTCTCTGTGTCTATCACACACGCCTGTTTCTGCATGTGGATTCTCCTCAGTTTCATCTTAAAACAGCAAATAGGATCTGTAAAATGTCGTAACTAAGTAGATTTTAAACCGTGGCACCTTAATCACAATGATTTCTGTAGATGAAGAGCTGGAAAGAATGACTTTCTACTACCATTTTTAGATCAGCTGTTTCTGTTAGCTTCTGCCATGCTACTGAAAACCAGAATGGTTGTCTGTAATAGCGGCCATCTAAACTGTGATTCAGTTCACTTCTGAGATATAATGCATTGCTGAGTTAGACTCGTGGGTATGTGTATCTACATGTGCATGTGTGGTTCGTTTTGTTTTTTTGCTATCAGAATACAAGTCAGTTGATGACTGTGAGGAGTTGGTCATCAATGCTGCAACAACAATCAACAATTTATCCTACTACAAAGTGAAGGGTTCTGCTGTTCAAGACAAGAAACTACACATTGCTGAAAGTAAGGACTTTTAAACTAGTACTTTCTGAATAGCTTTTTGAAAGTGGGAGTTATTCATGCTATACTTTGACACTACAGAAAATAAAGACACTGGTAGCATTTTGTGGTATCATATTGCAGGAATAAAAGTTCATAGGGCTAAATTCTTTCCATAATGATTTCTCATTCTTATGGAACATAATTCTATGACTTGTGTGAAAATAGTTAGATTGCTGTCAAACCCCCTTCTTTTCCTCCCGAAAGGAATTTGCCATATTGTTTTCTGTTTAGCAATTTTTTGCTAAACTTGTTTAAAATCCATATGTCTGAGCCAAAATAATCATATTGCTTTTTTCTTCTAATCAGAGTACACTGAGAATATTTTTTAATTCTTAGTACCTTTTCGTCCTGCAAAATCTAATTTGTGTCTGTTTCTGGCTTATAAATCCATTGGTAGTATAGGAGTTGTGTGATTCTCTCCTCTCTGACAGTATGGCCAATTTTGGTGATGAGTAGGAACTCTGAGCTCTGGGACTCACTGTGTCAGTGTTATAAAAAAGGCAGAGTCTGCGTGTTGCATACCTTTCTCTCTAAATAGATAAGACATGGGGGAGAGACGGAGCCTGAAGTTCGCATAACAGGTAGAACAGGGAGTAGGAAGAAAATATTCTGGCTGTCAACCTAGTGCCCTGACTGGTAGACATCATATTCTCTCTAGGTAATAGTTCTACTGTTCTGTCACGAATCATTTTATTACCCATAAGCCAGCTGTCTCTTATTGCTAGTCAGAGAAACGTGGAAACAAGTGACTTCTCTGCCTGTCCCATTCGCTCTCCCTCTCCTGTTTTTATTGCTAGCGTGTAGAACCAGTCCCATCACCTTTCCCCTGCTTGAACTGAGGAAAGAGAAAGCCTTTTGATGGAAGACCAGCAGGCTTCCTCCTCCAGGAGACATTTTGAGAGTATTCGCTGCTTGATAGGAGTGGTGGATCCCAAAGACAAAAAATAATCATTTCAAATGTCTCTTTAAGACAAGTTCAAGGCATGTTCAGTATTGCAACATTCAGAGACGGAAGTAATGGGAATGAGGCCAACCTCTTTTCTCTATTTTTTTCCTCTCACTTTTCTGTGGTAGAAAGGTTAAGGGTTGACTGATACCAGTCCTTTATATGATGGACTGATTTCAGGGGTTCACTTTGTACTCACAGAAGACTGATAAATGTTAACTTCTGTAACATTGTTCCTTTGCCGTGCACTGAAAACCTAAACGATGGTAGCTCTTCCTAGGAAATGCTGAAGGTCTCATTCCATCTGCTGAAGTTACACACTAATCATATGTGAAACTGCTAAGCAGGAAAGCAACAAGCAAGTAGATGCTTCAGACCAGGGGCAATATTAAGTAGCTGTGCAGATAAAATGTGTTTGCTTGTTATAGCAGCACTGAGAGAAAATAGAGCTAATGTCAGAAAATAATAAGCATTTTAAGAGACATCCCACCATAAGACCATCTGTTCAGGATCTAAATCAATTCTCTTACATGTTACAACATTTTTTTCTTCTTTGTTTTCCTAGTTCCACAGGAACCCACTAAAAAGTGTATAGCGAAACTGGCTCCCATTATTACAACGTGCTTAGGCTGTCTTCATAACTCCTCATTTGTTCCTTTGCATTTAGCCCCGTATTGGAGCTCTTTGTCTCATCTTCAAAGCCCTACACAATTTTGCTCTTGTTCCACCATCAGCTCACCCCCTTCACTGCAGCCAGCCAGCCAGACAACTGTTCCCATTTATTACGTTTATTGCCGTTGCTGCTTGCATTCTGATATTTATTGATAAAAAGCCAAGCACATGTTTGTGATGTTCAAGTAATTGTTTTTATTTCATTTCTCTGCAAACCAATAGTGCTTTTAAAGCTGTTAATGAGCAACAACATGGATGGAGTTGTGGAGGCTGTCAGAGTCTTTGGCAATCTTTCCCAGTATCATGAGATCTGTGACTTCATCATACAGAAAAATAGTGAGTTACTTTTGCATTTTAAATGTCTGTAGTTCTAAAAAGGACAGACTGTTAATAAGCTGTCTTGGTTAAGGGGTAGAAGCAATTTTCTCTGATGCTTTGCAAATTAGGCAAATCTTAGAATCCAATCGTAGTCATTATAAACACCGTTTTATTTCCGTTTCATTAAAATGGAAATATTGGAGGAAAAATATGCCATGGTGCCTTCACAAAGATAAATACTACAAAACCTGTGTTTTTCCTGAAGATTTTTTGAAATTTGCCTTCACCCTTCAGTTTTTCAAATCTTACAGGTTAGTAGTGATATGATAAAAAATGAAAACCCACCTAAATTCTCATTTAGGTTCATAATCACAGAGTTTTGATTCCCATGTTCGACAGCTTGTTAGCACTTTGCAACATGCATTTAAGATGTTTAACTGCCTCAACAGAGACCTCCTATTTGCCTCTGGGTGAGTATGATACAAGTCTTCTCAAGTCCTTTGCTTTGGGTGTCTAAAGAGCTTTGGGAAAAACGGCAGCTCCTTGCTATCCACAGAAGGTGTGTCATGAGTTTAATTAAACACCAGTTCACTGTAAATTTTCTTTCTGTCTACCTGTCAGTGCTGAAAGTGAGGTGATATGCCACAATATGCAACCCCTTCTTTCCAGGGTGGACATACCACCGCTTTTGGAGGAGAAGGTATCTGCAAAGGGAGAAGTGACACTTAGTAGCTGGTCAGGAAGCGCCACGAGATGCTGCACATCCAGCGTCTGCTTCTTGCCCGTCTCCCGCGGGAGTCCCAAGCTGCAGCAGTTCCAGCTGGACTTGGTGCAGTCTAGGGCAACCCTGCCACTCACAGAGGTAAGAACTTTCCTCTCTGAGTGCCAGATGCCAAATCTTGGAAGTTTCTGCTGACTGTGTGATTGAAAGGAGGGTGATACTTTTAAGAAATAACGTGTAATTCAGTTTGGTCAACTTAACCTCTTCTGATTGGATTTTCACATTACTTTGGTGTATTTTTATAACTAGAATTTTGTTATGTCTCGCTTTGAAGAAAACTGGTGTTCAGCATGATGCAATAATGGCTGTTAACATCTGGGTCACGCACCTACTCTACGAACATCACAGAAAAATGCTACAAGGTTAAATTTTTGGGTAGGGTATCCCGCATTTGACTGCTTTCTAAGTATACATGTTTAATAAGTATGTTGTAATGCCACTTGTATGATAAGTCCATCTTCCTAGTAATATCGTTTCCTTCTTTACAATCCAGTACACAAGTTCGTGATTGCTCTGCTTGATGCCAAGAACCAAGATGTCTGTTTTTCTGCCTGTGGAGTTCTGCTCAATCTCACAGTAGATAAGAACAAACGTGCTCTTCTGATGGAGGAAGGGGGAATCGGAAAGTAAGTTCCTGATTATACTTCGAAAAAGGCAATTTTGAGTAGTAGTAGTTTGGCCAAGAGTTTCAATCAGGTTCTACTTTACTAGAGCCAACGACTTGTAATAAGGATACATACTTAATAGATATTCAGCATCCAATGTTCTTCAAGAAAGAGCCTTTCATATTCTTTTACATGTTTTTTGCAAAAGCATTAGAGTGGTTTAGCCTACTGCAGAACCAAAACCCGTAGCATAACTTCCCAAAGATCCTCCTGATATACACAGCAGAGGAGAGTACCTTACAACCAGGCAACTAAGGCATAGCTTTGCAGGAGCTGCTTAGGCTTGGCTTAGCTGGATCCTGTGTGGGCTACAGTTAATAGGCATCTGTTTATAAGTCTGAAGATTCCTTTAGGAAATGTGATATCCCACATGGTCTCTTGCAATTTTTGTAATAGGGAAAACTGTCTGATGGTAGTCACACTCGGCAGAGCATAGCTCCTGAGTCTCCTCTCTCCAAGAGTTCAAGTTTAAGGCACTTGCAATAAAAGTGGTATTAGATCTTGAAAAACCACTGTGGATGCAACACTTGTGGCTTTGATGTTCAGATAATAGCGGACCCAGCTTAATTGGAGCAACATGAAAGATCATGTTCCTGTGCTTGTAAAGCAGTTGATACAACCCACGTTTATGAAACAATATGTCTAACTTTGAATTGCTTTCCTGTTCATACATCATATAATTATTTTTTATACAATGTAAACAATGAGTAGTCTGCTCACCTTTCCTTCCCATGTTCTAGTTAACTTACAAAATATAAAGCGGAAAAAGAATAAAAATAAGTTGCAAGCAAATTGAATAATAATTGTGAGAAAGTTCTATTATATAGAATATAGAATATTCTGTAGAATATAGAATCATGTAGAATTTCCTATACTCTGTCTACAAATTTGTGAGGAAGGAAGGAGAAACAGTAACAGTATGGAATAAATCTAGATAACTTGGAAGTGATTGTTAAGGAGGTCATCCTGACTGTGCCAAACCAGCTCTGTGGATTTTTGGAAATGAGGTTATTGTACCAATATATAGTGGCCCTAATTCTCATCAGAGAGTTAAACTTCAAAAAATTAGGGCAAGTTCTTTTGGCTTTTCATTAGGAGAGAAAAAGCAAACCTCTTTTTGGTTGCTTTTCAGTTACTGCTGTTTTCAGCTATACCTGAATGTAATAGTTATCCCATGTTCCCTTTACTAATCACCAGATTATAAATCTCACAGTGGAGTAGAGAAGTGAGGGAAAAAGGGGGTCGGAGTCGTAGCAGGAAAGGATCACTATTAAGAGAGGTCACTAGGGACAGCAGGTAAAAACCATTTACTCCTGCTGCCCCAGGACTTGTAAACTCTGCTGTTGGTAGTGGGAACTCTGGAGAGCTGCTGTACATAAGCTGGTGCAGGCAGAAAAGTTACAGCTTAATTTCAGAGTCCTGCTTATGATCCGGCCCGCATTTGGTATCTGCAAGGAAGTGAGAGTGGGAGAAAGGTCAAGATCCTAATGGTCCTTAGTAAAACTGGCATTTCTGAGAGGAGTCCAGTGGGAGTACGGACGGAGGAAATACAAGAAGCGGTGAGATCTGCAAAATAGTCAGACTTCACTGAATGTAAAAGGTAATTCTGTGAGTTACGGAAGCAGCGGATTCCTTTGGATTTGTCTTCTGGTCAGATCCTCTGATGTGCAATAAGGTGGATGTTCCGACTGAAGCTTTTTCTGCATTGATACCATCTTTTCCAGATGAATTCTTGGTGCCTGATAAGGTTTGGCTTGTGTTGCAATCTCTGCTCTAGTGGTAGCCACAGATTCGGGACAGTCACAGATTGTCCTGAAATTTGATGGAATTCTAGTGTCTGTGAGGTGGTTACAGTTGTGACGTATGTGATTGAAATTGGTCAGTTGGGTTAAAAAGCTGCAGGGGATGGACAGGTGCAGGCAGGCATGTGCACATGTGTGACAAGAGGCACATTCACATCCTTAGGGAACTAGACTAAATGAAAAGGGGGAAGTTACTGAGGAAGAAAGTAGCATCTTAAGTTTATTAACATTTTCCTGCAAATTTTCATGGAGTCTGCACACATTTCTAGACGGCCAGCTTTTGAAGGGCTCAGGAGAAAACTACGTGGAGCAAACCACTGTTTTTGTTTGATGCTGGCAGGTTAGTTGAGTGTTTACAGGACTTTGGGCCGTCGGACTGGCAGCTGGCTTGTTTGATATGCAAAACCCTGTGGAACTACAGTGAAAACATCGCAAGTGCGGCCTCATGCTTTGGAGAAGATACCGACACGTTGCTGGTGCTGCTCACATCACTCTTAGGTGAGATCCATAATTTTGGTCTCTTTTCCTTAATAAAAGAAATAGAGCAAAATCAAAGCAGTGTTAGTTTGGGTGGGACGTCTGTCACGCAGCTTGAAGTGGTTGGCTGGTACAGACTATCCAACAGCAGAGCGGTCTATTGCCATTCAGCACGTTCCCTCAGATCTTACGGATTGCCAAGGTGGAACTGGCAGCTGTCACTCCCCGCTCCAGTTTGTCTAGTTAGCACGGCACTAATGCTTTTCACCAGCTGCCTCTTTGCCTGCTTGAGCCAACTATCCCATAGACCTTCAGCGCAAAACATACTTTTCACTGGATGTGGGGCCTTCCGGCCTCAAAGGTCACTGCCAGGGACTGACAGAAGCAGGGGCTCAGCTGTGGTGCACCTGGTTACTGCCCGCCACGTGCTGGGCAGTCTGGGGAACGTGGCTTTTCCCGTCAGCCGGAGGGCTCTGCGGTGCACCGGCCTGAGCTTGCTGCTTGTGACCAGAGACCCCTGGCCACCCTTCTTTTCTCATCCTGATCTCCTTGTGGGCGAGGACAACATCCTGACAGTTTCTCACCTGCTCCCTAAAGCTAGGGAGAATGTACTCCTCCACAAATACAGGCGAGAAGGTGCCTACAAGTGAATGTTAAGACCCTGATTCACTTACCCAGTTGGATCTTGTCATCTGCACATTTGTGTTTGCTTCAAATTTTACAGAGCTTGATTCCTATGTGATAGTGCTATAGTCACTATATGTAATTTTCCTCCTGTATTTTATGAGCACTGCTTTGGTTATGATTTTATTCCGGGTAGGTAATTTGCAATTATCTTTAAAAAAAAAAATCTTTAAAATGTAAATGAAGTTGAAGCAAACCTTAACTAATTTGGATTTGGTTTTAATTGGAAATTTGCTAAAGATGTATGCTTGCTGTGGAGAAGGCTGCATGTTAGTCAGACCCAGACAGAAAGTGAGGTCCTCGTGGTCTCTTGTTTTCAGACAATCAGAAAAGTGAGTGGATTTATGAGGATTTTTTTCCACTTACAGCCGGATTACTGTTACTCATTGTTGCAATCAGTCCTGGCATTGCATTCCTTGCTATGATCGGGCATATCTTAATGTGAGCAGTAATTCCATTTATTTATCTGAAAATACTCATTGTTTCAAGATCATTAGAGCACTTTTTAACATTCTGCAAACAGAACTGCTAACTTTACATTTTCTAGTATGAATTTTCTAGTATGCAGCAAGGAATATGTATCTTTCTTTTTTTCCTCTGCATTTAACACTGCTTACTCCAGCAGTTAATTTGACTGCAGAGCCCAGGCTGGGTCGTAATTGGAACTCTCATTAACTAGTACAGCTTTAGTGAACTGGAGTTCATGTACAATTGCAGTTGCAATTGCAATTGTAATTGTAATGCAGCTGTAACGACAATTAATTAAACGTAAGTCAGAGTTAAATCAGAAGGCTCGTCTTTCTTCCCACCATAGTCAGGAGAGTAGCTGTAGAAAAAGCACATCTTATTCGTTGGATCTGGTTCCTCTCTGTGTTAAGAGCCAACAAATTTTAGTAACAGCAGCTGGTTAATATTGTCCTACATCTTCCTCCTCCTATTGTATCCCGTAACAGCCTTGAACCGTCATTGCTCTGATTCTATCATTCAGGAAGCAGGAGGCAACTGCTGACAGTCCGTACTGTACTTCACCATCAGCACGCCCTCAGGAAGCGGAAGAAGTGGAGCATGGCACAGCAGACACCTCACTTCACCTGCTGTGCTTGGCCTCCTCCCCTTTATTTTTCTTTCCCCTACCTGGCACAAGATGACAAAAGATGGGAGGGAGCCAAAAGGGAGTAGAAATAGCCTGAAAAGATGTTGGGCCCGAGAAAGGCTGGTCAAAAGGCATCATTTGTTTTTCTTTATCCCTGCCTGATCCCAGAAGCCTGAGACACAGCAGCTCTGCTTTCCAGTGGCTCTGTCATTTGCCTTCTTTCAGCTGCTCCGGAGTTTCACGTCACTTTACTGGCTCAGAGCTTCTGGAGGCTGGTGTTTCCAGGTCCCTGGCAGCAGCTTTTCCTTGCCCCGGTCCCTCAGGAGCAGCAGTGGAGATGAGCCTCCGTCTTGAGAACGTTCTTCTGTTTGGTGATTCAGTGAAATCTCCTTTCTCCCTCTCTTTTTCCAAACTTCTCTTCTGCTTACCTTTACCTCCACTAGCAATTTGAGGAGGTTATTTTGGAATCTCAGTACACATGAACTCTTACATGGCATGGTCATGGCTTCCAGGGCAGCTGGCCCCTGCCTTGCCGGAGTTACAGGGATGAGTAGCCCCTGCAGACTGCTGTCTGTACTCTAGTTTTCAGCATTCCCCACGGTGTGCTTTGCCTTGTTCCTGGGCTTGCAGCCAGTTCATATGCTGTTTGGCCAGTACCCAATTTTGTTAGTTTTGAGGAGGGTCATGGGAAAATTAGATTATCTGAGGAGGCACGGCTTGCACGTGGGACACTGATCCTCACTGATCCCCAGTGTTACTCACATTCTGCTTTGGGAAATTTACTGGTTTGGTTCAACACTTCAGCTTTTGAACTGGTTCTGACTCTTGTTCTTGTAGGCTGGAATTCCTGACCTCAGAGATTCCATAAACATTCAATTAACTTCTGGGGGGCACAGCTGTATAATAAAAAGGAGAAACGGCTCTTGTGCCGTTAGAAGATAGTTCATTTGGGTAGTAGGATCGTATCAGGAGTAGGCAGAGCAATTCTCCCTGAAAACAAAAAACATAATCCCTTATCTTCCTCCTCAGGGTATCTCACTTCTCTGCTGCTGAGATTCATTTTAGATATGTGGGGCTACTGTGCCATTGATAGGACAAGAGCTAATGGGCACAAGTTGCAATAAGAAGAATTCCAATTAAATAATAGGAAAAGAAGTTTCTGCCATAACAGGAGTCAAGCGCTGGAACAGGCTGCCCAGAAAGGCTGTGGAATCTCCATCCTTGGTGATGTTCAGTACTCAATAGTACATGGACCAGAGCAACCTGGTCTACGGTGACTCTGCTCCAGAGGTGCTGTACCAGCAAACACAGATCTGATGTCTGGGGCTGGATTTTACCTCTGGTTACAGGGTTTCTTCCTGCAGAGATATGACATGTCTTCCTTTTTGAACGAATGGGATTTTTTCTCTTTATGTTGTTACAAAAACCTCGAAATGGCACCTTCTCTTTATGCGGAACCCCTTTTGGAATCTACCTCACAATCAGCATCTCTTTGATTTTGGTCATTTAGAAACACTGTAGTGGCACAGAAGTCAAGGGTTGTTTGCAGTTGCCAGTAACTTTCTATGAATTGGAGCCCGTCTTCATGCAAGAGTTGTGTCACCTCATCCGTTGCAGTTGTTGCCGCTCAGGCCGTAGGCTCTGCGCAGGCCCCTCGGCGTTCTTGTAACTGGGAATAGTTGCTGTTTGAGCGTCTCTTTTCTACACAAAGATTGACTCAAAATGAGAGTAACTGAGCTTCCTCTTCAGCTCTAAGTTATCTTTGTCCTGCTGTGAGCGTGCAGTAAGGTCGCTTACGGAGTTAGTTTTTAACAGATTGTGAGTCTCATGCTCTTGCATAGTCTAGGACGAAGGTAAGTCACGCTGCCCATTGCATGCAGGATTGTGTCTTTGGTTTAGGTCTGTTTATGGCCTAAAGGCTGTCAAATATCCTCCTGGTAAACTGTAAGAAAACATTTGTCCAGCATTATCGTTTGTGTTTGCAGGTTCCCGATTCAGGAGCATGCTTCTGGCTGCCGAAGGGTTTGTCTCTTTGCCTCCTCCAATGCCAGGCAAAATGGAGGAGGAAGAAGGAATGATGACTTCCTTTCGTTCCTAACATTGCTTGTCTTTATTCGGAGTGTCCTGTTATTTTATGTATGAAGTTTGTGAGGAAGGGAGGGCATCAGCAATACCGTAACTAGTGTGGTTCAAGTTCTTTAAGTACGACAGCAGATACAGTTTGAGTCTCCATGAACCAGACGAGCAGAGCCATTTGTGACACAAACACACAGTTGTAGTGAGATGAGTCGATTTCTTACACTAGCAGAAGTGCTGTGGGTAATGTTAAGACCCAGAAAGGTTCCAAGCTGACAGTCACAGTAAACGCTTGATCTTGGAGACACAGTTTAGCTACAACCGGTGAGATGTGAGAATAAATGAAGCTGCACTATCCCTTCCACTGTTTTACTGACCTTAACATCCTTTATTAGAAGGACATGGAGCTGCTGGAGCAGGTCCAGAGGAGGGCCACGAAGATGATCCAAGTGCTGGAGCACCTCTGCTATGACGACAGGCTGAGAGAGTTGGGGCTGTTCAGCCTGGAGAAGAGGAGGCTCTAGGGAGACCTTCTAGCAGTCCTCCAGTACTTAAAGGGTGCCTACAGGAAAGCTGGAGAGGGACTTTTGATGAGTTTGTGTAGTGACAAGACAAAGGGCAATGGCTTTAAACTGAAAGAGGGTGATTTAGATTAGATATAAGGAAGAAATTTTTCACTGTGAGGATGGTGAGGCACTGGGACAGGTTGCCCAGAGATGTTGTGGATGCCCCATCCCTGGAGGTGTTCAAGGCCAGGTTGGATGAGGCTTTGGGCAACCTGGTGTAGTGGAGGGTTTCCCTGCCCATGGCAGGGGGGTTGGAACTAGGTGATCTTGAAGGTCCCCTCTAACCCAAACCATTCTATGATTCTATTTTCAATTAAATCTGAGTCCCTCAGGCAGTGATGCTTAGTTTGTCTTAAACATAGAGTTGTTTTTAAGACATCAGCGTACACAACTGACAAGTTTTGTGTGCTGTGGTCATAAAATACATGGTTGGGTGTACTTTTATTCAGAACTGACGGCAATATTTTCCTTGATTACAGATGGAGAGCTAGCATTGGATTACAGCCTCGACGGAGATTTAAGGGACTACCACAAACTATATTGGGAAAGAGAGTTCAAACCTGTGGCAGAAAAACTTCTTGACAGAATTCAAAGCCATCACTCCTTTCTTCCCACTGTGACTATAGCTCCACTTTAATCTGTCATTATTCTCTTTTTGCGGTGTCGATCGTACAGCTTTGTATTTCTAATGTACCTGTACGTTGCCATTGGTAAGCATGTTGGAGAGCATGGGAAGTTAATTTTTAAAAAAGTCAGTAAAGCCTGGCACTTACATACCAGGTACTATCTTTTGAGAAGCTTGTGTGAAGTTTTTGCACGTGTAATTACTTTTTACAATATATTTAAGCTGATCAAGCAGCTGTTTCATGTGATTTGTCTATTAATTGCTTAGTATCTTGGCTGGGAAAAGGGAAAAAACTATTTGCTGAACTTTTAATTTTTAAAAGGTAAACTACCCCCGAGTACCTGGACCTGTGTGGTACCGAGTGTGCTGTGCGCTATGCAAGTCTGTTACAGGGCAGGAGCCACATCTCACCTGCAAACCTTGACACGCTTTTATGTCACATGAAATTCTGTGACAGAGTAGCCCAAATGTTGGGGAATTCTGTGTTAGAGCATAAGCTTCACCTTCAGACAGGGCTGCCAGTGGGGAGGGGGGAAAGTGTCTCCCTTTTCCTTCGGAGATCCCCCTCCCTTTACCTGGTGCTGTGGGCTAGGGTGTCCCAGCTCCTCCCTTGGTCCTCATGGGGTGTAGGTCCAGCTGTGCTGGAAAGAGGCTTTTCTGAATTGGGACTTAAGGCAAAACACCCCTATCTCTGATGTAAGAGAAGATTTTTAGCTAGTCTGGTGTGTTCTTTCAGCTGTTCCCACGATGCCAGGAGCCGCCTGTGCTTCTCAGACCATCTTGTCCTTCTGTCTCCCCTGGGCTCGAGTCTCTGTCCACGGGGCGAAAGAAAGGCTGTTCGTCCTTCACATTCCTTCTCACTGCTGCTGGCTTGTTTATTGCTCAGTTTTCATCCTTTCAGTGTGTAGAAGTCCCTGCTGGTAGCCCATGGATTAGCTCAGCAGATGCACCACTGGCTCAAGCGTGACCAGTCCGATTGGCTACAGGGAGCTCTACAGACCCGACCCATTTCTCTCTTTTCTGACCTCAGATTACTGACAATAAACGGCTGTGCAGGGGCTGCCGGGCTCCCAGCTCCGATCCTGAGGGTCAGCAGCCTCGCACAGTGCTGTGTGCGCCACGGGAGCAAGCCTCCAGCCTGGCAATCCCTGCAGAGAGGCTGGAGGAAGTTGTTTTTCTGCGGCAGCAATGCAGAGCTCCCTCCGGGGCACCGCTGTACTTTCGGCAGTGCCCGACCTCTGCTTCCAGGTGAGATGATGGGAGAAGGCTGGGAAAGAGAGCAGTAGTAGAAGGGCAGGGAAACTGGTTTTCCTCGTGTAGGTCCCTGTTTCTACATTCTTTGGGACTTCTTTACTGTGGATGGGGCAGGGGAGATTTCATGGTCCAGGTTTTGGGAGTGGTGAGGAGGAAACTTCAGTGAAGGTAATGAAATTGGCAACGTTCTTTTGTGCCAGCAGCTCAGGTATTTCTTGTGAGCAGCAAGGCTCAGCCGCACAGCGGATTGCTTAGGAAGCACCTGCGGCAGCCTCCATCGCTGCACCCCACCGGAGAGAACTGCTCCGCAGTTTGGTACGGCTTGGCTCCAGCAGCAGCTCTGCTGAGCTCAGAAAGATCTCGGTTCTCATTCTTTCTTTTGCCATTTCAATTTTAGCTGCAGTTGAGGGGAAGAAAGATAAATAGCTTAAACGCCCCATTTGTTTCTTGAGGAAAAAAAAGAATGGATTTGCTTTGTGGGGGCACTGAAGAAAGGACAATGGATAAGTGCTGCCCTGTGGGGAGGGAGCTGGAGGCATTTGTTTGTTCTTGGCATTCGCATCAAGGCAAAAGGCAGGTGAGCACCAGGCTGCGTAAGGCAGGGTGGAGATGCAGTGGGAAAGGCCTTGCGGCCAGCTCCTTTTTTTTAATAATCAGAATTGACCAGCGTCCAGGACCTGTCAGAAGGCAGCCTGAAACTGGTGCTTTGCTCAAGACAAGGTGGGTACGCAGGCAATTAAAATTTGTTCAAAGAAAACACTTGTTATGTTGGTCATTACTGACCAAACTGTGACCTGGAGCACGCCGCTGTGTGCCCCGTGGCGTGGGGCAAATCTGGGCATCCTGTAGCAGGGAGCAAAGCTGGGGCAGCCACTGAGTGTTTGTGGGGTTTTTTGGTAGTGTGCCACCTGGGCCCACGCAGCAGCCTGCCTGCCATTTAGCCCCCTTTGCTTGTGCTGGCACACACCGTCTCCTTCCATGCCATGCCTGGCCTTTTGGACAGGATCCCCCACCCACATGGTCTCTTGGGGTGCCCACAGCATCTGAGGTGTGTGAGATGCTGCTGAAGCGCACGCAGGAGCTGCTGCACGTTGCAGCCACAGGTGAGGCTCTGCAGGAGCTCCCTGGGAGCCGCTGGGGCTGAGGGCCTGCTGCGAC